CAACTCAAAAAAAAAAAAAAAAAAGCAAATTTCATCAGCTCTCTTCTTATTCAGTCCCTTATTAAGTATTTCTCATGGCTTCCTATTACTCTAAGGATAAGAACCCAAATCTCTAAGGTCATCCCTGATCTGGTTCCTCTTTACCTCCTAGCTATATCTTATTCTACTCTCTCCCTCTGTGTTTCAGCCATACTGCTTTTTTCCTGCCGCAATTCCTTGGCTGACTGAGCCCCCTCTTGGTGCAGGACCTTTGCATATTCTGTATTCTATGCCTGGAATGCTTCCCTATCCACACCTTATTACCCTTCCTCCAGATCTCAGCTCAAAAGTACTTTCAGGGAGACTTTCATTAACTACTCTCCTCTCTCCCACACTTTGTTCTCAGTTCTCCTAGCCACTCTCTTTGTCCTTCCTTCATAGTAGTTATCAGAGTCTGTAATTATGCATTTGTCTTTATGATTACTTAATTAATGTATCAAACTTCTACCGTATTTCAAGTATACAAGAGAGTGTGTATTTATTTTGCTCAAATTTAATCCGAATCCCACAGGGTGTCATAAAACAGATGCTCAGTAAGTGTATTTTTGAAGAATGAGTGAATGAGTGAGAGTATTGTCATATGAGCCTTGGGACAGAGACGTTAAAGGAGCAAGCAGTCACTGCTGCCGGGAATTCAGTAAAATAAGGATAGAAAAGTATCTGTTGATGCTTTTATCCCTTGAGTTTTTTTAATTTTAAGACACATGATGCCTTTTATCAGTAGTAGTGGAGTTCAGATTGTATTGCAGGGCCCAAAATTAGACAGAAAGGGAGAAAAATGGAGACCTCAGGTGTAGGTCACTCTTTCACAAACTTGGCTTAGAAAGGAAAGAGAGGGCAATAGTTGGTAACTGGAAGTCATATTACAAGGTTAAAGGTTTTTAAAAATTGTTAAGTGTCTTTTTTTTTTTTTTTTTTGAGTTGGAGTCTCACTCTGTCGCCCAGACTAGAGTGCAGTGGCTGCCCCTGGCCACCGCAGCCTCGACCTGCTGGGCTCCGGCGATCCTTCCGCCTCAGCCTTCCGAGTAGCTG